TTGCCATTGCCTCCTTCCTAGGGCTGAGAGAGAGTGACTGGCCCAAGGTTATCCCGCTGGCTTTGTGCCCAAGGCGGGACTAGAACTCATGGTCTCCTGGTTTCTAGCCTGGTGCCTTAACCACTACACCAAACTGGCTCTCATAATGATAGTCTAAAATGGGTATAATATGTTCACGTTTAGCTACAAATACCTGTCTAATGGTACTTCGTGCCCATTGCTCTTTTTGTTTTTAGTTAGCTTTCAAATGCAATTTATATAGTTTGCATTACAGAAGCCTATGTTTAGGTTTGGAAAATTGAAACACAATGTTCTGATTCGGGACAAATTTATTAGATGGTTTCTCTCTTGCCTTCAATTTTTGAAAAAAGTGGGAAGTGACTTTTTCAGAAGTTGTGAAGTGGTGGAAAGCTGTAGTCTGTTAGTTTGTTAACTTTGCTCTTCTGTTTTCTTCGTAGCTTGTTCTATGTTTTTTATGAACAATATCTGACAATTGTGGATGACACCATCTTTAATCTTGGCATTTCCCTTGGATCAATATTCATAGTAACGATGGTGCTGCTTGGTTTTGAAATATGGGCTGCTGTTGTTGTTTGCTTCACCATCGCTATGATAGTGGTCAACATGTTTGGAATGATGTGGCTCTGGGGTATCAGCTTAAATGCAGTTTCCTTAGTAAACCTTGTCATGGTAAGTTTACCCACACTTTAATTTTTATCTGCTTACAAAGCTTTGGTGCAAAAAGAAATGCTGCTTAGATTCTGTGCAATTTATATCCTTAAAGATGGATTTAAAGGCTCAAAAGGAATACATGCTGTGCTTGATACACTTATTTCATTCCTTGTAAGCTTAGGAAAGGGAAGTGTTACCCTTTTTGTTTCTATTAGCAAATCATTTAGGTTACTCTGAAAACCTTGGCTTTTTTAAGAATACAGTGACAAAGGTTGTCTTAGACTTAAGTGTCCATACTTCAGTGATGTACCCAGATATGCTTGTACACAGCTACATCTATTACCAATGCCCCAAGAACCAATTTAAATTTAGGTGCATGTAGTATTTAAGCTACTTCTTTGCCAGTTTGTAGTTTACTTTGATGAATTTTCCTATCCTTTGCCCAGAAGACCAAAAGCTAGGCTAAGTTGGACATTGGTAAGGACATTCTAAACAAATCTTGTAACCTTTTAAAATTCACAAACAAACAAATAAATAAATAGTACATTATTTTCAATTGCTAGATTCTTGGTGGTATCAGTCCCATTTCTAAAAACATTTTCACACTGGGGCAGCCACCATTGTTTTGTTAGGTAAGATACAGAAATACTGAGCAAAAATGTTGTTGGGTCTAGTAATTCATGAATATAGATAGTCATTTTCTAGCAGCACTTCGAGGACTGATTGCAGGTGGAATTGGTGACTTTGGAAAACTGTGGAAAAACTTTGTGAAGCATTCCAGCAATACTTGGGAATGCTTCCCAATTCTTGGGAAGACTTGGATGTCCTTGTAAGCATGCTAGCCAAAAACAGAAAACAGATCACTCATCGAGTCCTAACATCCAGCTTTACTTCATGAGCTGAAGTGAGAGATTGAGTCAGCCTCTTACTTGGAAGTGAGAGCCTACTTCATCAGTGCCTCCCTCCTTACCTACAGGTCCTGGCATCCATTTACAAATCCATTTCAGCAAAGAAAGCTCTATCATATGAAACAATCCTGAGGGCCATATTTCTTTTGATAGTTCTCTCACCTACATGGTGGAGGTACAGAATATCCTGTTACCCTCTGAAAGCAAATCCTCCCCATGCTTCACTTAGAAAGGCAGCTTATAAGAAAGCAAGAAATGATGTCTTAGTGATTGGACTGGCTCCATTGCATGGTGATATTGGAAAAATTAACAAGGAAGAACTTTCCCACACTCTGTTTAGCCCAATAAAACTAAAGCTGCTCTGGGCATTTCTGCAAAGTGGATTCTTGACCACGTGGTGCCATGTAACTGGGTTGGCTAAATTTTGTTGAGGTCCCTCATTGGAACTTGACAAATCACATTCTGTGGAATGCCATTTTATCTCTTACTTTAGTAGAGAATTCTTGGACCCTCTCACTGTCCAAGAACCCAGCACTTCCATTCTGATGTCTCCAGCACCCCTGTAGGGAAGATTAGATTTCCTATTTACTCCACACATTTCACATGTACTCATGCAGCTGGTGATTGAGTTCCGTTCTCATGGGATGGAGTGTATCTTCTATCTAAGAAGCCTTCACAGAGCTCTAAGAACTCCTCTGGGTCCTCGGTGTTTTTCAAGTAGAATGCTGCTGCTGCTATTTCCACTAGTTGCCTCTTCCTCCATGACCTTCTTTTCCTTTAAATAAAGTACCCTAAGGAGCAAATAGGAAGGTAAAGAGAAGACCAGCCAGAACATGTCACCATCCTTCAGTTCTCTTGTGTTTGTGGGGAATGAGCATATGTATTTGTGTTACTTCTGATTACATCAAATAAATCAAATCAAATGAATTGAATCATTGAAACATTTGATTCTGTAAGTAGCTTTGTATTTTAAACCTGGAAAAAGTTTGCTGCTTTTGCACATCTCTGTACCCATTTGCTGTTGGAAATTTGAAAAGGAGAAAAAGTGACAGAACTGCCTACTTTTCACATTTTTCTTTACATGGTTTCCTGCCTATCAATGATATTTGGATACCTCCCAAGCCTTATTCACAGAAAATGTTTTCTTTCCCATTTGGGGGGGGAGATCTCTTTTAAGGATTTTTTAACTTTTTAGTAATGCAAGATTTGGTGTTTCTTGACTAATAGATGCATCTTCTTTATTTGTGGCTGCTTAATAGTTGACTGAATGATATATGATATGCTTAGAATAATTGGTTTAAACTGTAAAATAGGCTACACCAGTAAGAGAGTATTGAATACAATTCTATTTATAGTGACATTTTTAAAAGCCATCTTCATACCTTGATTATTTCTAAGCTATGGATCTTTCTACAAAGAAGGCCTGTTTGCTAATAGCCTTCTAGAAGCTGGTGAAGAGGCACTTGGTGAATAATTTGACTTGCTGTATTTGTTGATTATTGTATTTAATTTCTGTTGCAGCTGCTGCACTGTTCTGCTTCTTCCCTTTTGTGTTATTTTGTGTATATGCTATAACAATATTCTAACTACAGTGGTACCTCTACTTACGAACTTAATCCGTTCCGTGACTCTGATCGCAAGTCGAGTTGGTCGCAAGTCGAGGTAAATTTTCCCATAAGGTTCAATGTAAATACGGTTAATCCGTTCCGCCCTCCGAATTTGGTCGCACCCCGAAGCAGATTTTCCCATAAGGTTCAATGTAATTACCGTTAATCCATTCTGGTGTCTGCGGACCATGCGTCAGGGGTGGAAAAGCGCCTGCGCGCGGAGGGGCGGCAAAACGCCTATGCGCAGCGCGGTGGGGTGGCAAAACACCCGCGCGCCATGGCGGCAAAACGCCCGCGCACCGCACGTCAGGGGCGGAAAAATGGCCGCAGACCACATGTCAGGACAGAAAAATGGCCGCGGACCACGTGTCAGGGTGGAAAAATGGCCGTACCTCGAGGCGGAGTTCGCACATCGAGGTAAATTTTTTGGGCCGGAGCTGGTCATATCTCGAAAATGTCGTAAGTAGGGGCGTTCGTAAGTAGAGGTACCACTGTATTAGCATTTAATTGCTATTTATTTAAATGCCCTGTGATTTATAAAACATAATTAGCGCTAAGAGTATCCTAACATCTATGCTATCTCTTTTTCAGAGTTGCGGCATCTCTGTTGAATTCTGTAGCCATGTGACAAGAGCATTCACAATTAGTACAAAAGCAACAAGAGTAGAGCGTGCTGAAGAAGCACTATCTCACATGGGGAGCTCTGTAAGTAGCATTTTGTATCCTGTTTCTCATGGCAATAGAAATCATGAAAACTGGGCTGGATTGTCTTAGTAGAACATGGCCTGTATGCATCTAAATGCTGACACATTGGTTACAATCTACACAGTGCATAAAGTTAATCTCTTCCTGTAAATAGTTTGTAATTATAAAAGCGTTTCTTTATCTGACATGGATAGACAATCGTTTTAACCCTAATTATTGCAGATCAAGGACTATATGCACCCACACTTCATGTGCATGTACCATTCCATTGTCTTCTTCCTTTTCTAGTGAACCCTGGCAAGATTGCAGGGAAGAGAGAGGAGACAATGAGATAACCCACTTAAAAAAAAAATCCATCCTGATTGCAGATCACTGTTTTTGTTGTGCAAGAACAGTGATTTAGTGTAAGAACACTGAGAAAAAGAAGAAAAAAGTGAGGCTTAAGTAACTTAGTGCAGATTGTACATTTTTATTGCAAAACCAATGATCTGATACTCACCAACTTGACAGACTAGTTGGTAGGAAGAGAGCAGGATGCTTGTCTGCTAGCCATGCAGTAGGCTGGGTGCTGATATTGCTACTTTTCCGTTGATGATGATGATGATCTTATAAAAATAAATTAATGCTGGCCTGTTAGGGAAATGGGTGCGTTGTCTATAACAGGACAATGTATTTCACTAGATTATAGTACTTCCTTTTTTTTTAATTTCAACAGGTTTTCAGTGGTATTACACTTACAAAATTTGGAGGAATAGTGGTGCTTGCTTTTTCCAAATCTCAGATTTTCCAGATCTTCTACTTTAGGATGTATTTAGCCATGGTACTACTTGGAGCAACCCATGGTCTAATATTTCTTCCTGTCCTACTTAGTTACATAGGTAAGACAACATTGGAATTTGCTAAAGATAAAGTGACCTATATGCCATAGAGTCCACATTTAACTTTATTTATTATGTTAAATAAATCACATTAAACTGGTTTAGCAAAATACAGGTAGTCCTCGACTTACCACAATTGGGACTGGAGCTTCTGTCACTAAGCAATGCAGTCATTAAATGAGTCCCACCTGATTTTATGACTTTTTTTTTGCCACAGTCATTAAGCGAAATCATGGCTGTTAAGTGAATCACATGGTCATTAAGCAAATCCTGCTTTTCCCACTGACTTTGCTGGTCGGATGTCCCCTAGGAAGGTCGCAAATGGTGATCCCGGGGATGCTGCAATGGTCATAAGTGCAAAGACTGGTCGTAAGTCACTTTTTCAGCAGCATCGTAACTTTGAATGGTCATTAAACGAATGGTTGTAAGTTGAGGACTACCTGTAGACTACTTGGGCTTGCACACACCCACAGTCCTTAATGCGACTGAGACAAAGACCTGGTTTCTCATGCTAAGTACATAAATATGTACTATTTATTTTTGGCTTATTGTCATGTTCAAATCAGGCCACAATGACATACCAAAAAATTCCTAGCATAGCATTTTGTGAAATATCTCTGGATTGACAAATTTATTAACTTTTAATTTAGCTTAAAATAAGCCATCATATAATTATTTTTGAAGCTGGAGAGCTTAAACTAATTAGTTAACATTCTGAGAAAATAAAGTTAAGCAGGAGCAAAAATATGCAAATTCCTTGCTGCAGAAGAAAAAGCTAGCCTTGCTTGTGGCAGGGTTTATACATCATGCTAGAGTAATGTGTTTTTGGCTTAGTAATTGTTCTTGTTTGTAAACCATGATCATATCTTAACATGTAAACTAGGCCACAGTAGCTTATTCTATAAACCATGGCATTGTACTATACATGAACACAGCTCATATTCTGCTAAACCATGGTTTGTGGTATCAACTTCCAATTTGACCAGTAGGAGTACAATGGATTTTAACTATGGATTCATTATGTTCAAATGACTTGAAAACTTCACTTGATTTGTATGTAAGGCACACAAACATATTATAGTCATGTCTGTTGTTCCATCTTATTGCATCACAAATGCTCTTCTTTGAAACACAACTTAATTTTGAACATGTTTTATAATCTAGCATTAATGAACTAATAAATATAGGGAAAAAAATCAACATTTCCATTTCTCTTCTATAGGGCCCTCAGTAAATAAAGCTAAAGCACATGCAGCACAAGAAAGGAACAAAGGAACAGAAAGAGAAAAACTCCTGTTCTTCTAGCTGTTTTAAACAAAGTGGTCAGTGGACTCCGAATTCTGGCTGAAGACTTATAAATTGTAGCAAGTTTCTGTGATTACCGTCTCACAACTCCAAAATGCTACTGGAATTAATTAATTCTTCACATAATTGAAAGAGAACCAGTAATTCTGAAGAGTTTGGATTCAGGAAGAACTATATCAACATAATTTATCAGTATTAATTTAACTAGAAACATTAATGAGAACATAAATAATAATTTATTCTAGTTTTTGTTCCTGAAAAGGACACTGAGTTCCAATATAAATAGATTTCCTGGTAACATTTAAAGTGATAGGTATGAGACTAGATTGCTAAACCACTGACAGTTTTTTAATGCAAGTCAATGCAACTTTTGGCTCTATTTTTAGAAGAAAAATAAGCCATCCGTCAAAATGTTGTAATATTTTTAATATTTGCCAAAGGGTCTGTATATATACTTTATTATAAAATAGATCTTTTGTAGGTCAAAAGTAAAAGTACATAAATGCAATAAATTAACTTTATACATCCTTGTACTGAAACAGCTTTACTATGTCAGAAAGTGGTAGGCTTCATTAATGCTTGGTCTCCAAAAACCTGCTTAAAAAATGTGACATGCTCTTCACAGTGTTCTCCTAGAAGAAAAGAACAGAAAATGTAATTAGTATTATTTTTAAAGTCTTAAGGAATTACATTTGAGTTTATGTATTCTCAATACTTTTTCTTTTTAAAAATTTCAACTTCAGGAGCTGCCTCTGCTTCCCTCTCTTTACTATGTATGTCTCAAATTTTGAAACAGGGCAGCTGGAACATAAAGCAATTGTATTAAAAACAGAAATCAGATGGGTAAACTAGATGCATTTTAAGGGTTTAATTTAAGGTAATTTAGCGTATTTTGTATACATAGCATATGCTATGAGTTCTGTATGTTAATACTAGGAAAAGTGGATTTTATGCATAATCAAGAACACTGAGAAAAAGAAAGTTGCAAATTATCCTTTAGGCACTTACTTTTCCACAGCATTAAATACAATCTTTTTTTATATATAACTAACTTTAGCAATTAGAATTTGACTTCACAACTATTGGCTAAGCCACAATGTTAAAGACTGTACTATTTCACTTAGTACAGGAGCTGCTCTCATCAAGTATTTATCTTGCTTTTGAATACTGTTGATAGCTAAAGCTGTTGTTGAGAAATGCACAAAGGTCTCTGGTAGAGTGGAACTGCATGCATGAGAGAGCATTAATAAGTCATTTGCTGATTTGAAAATGGAGTTTGGAGATATTTTTTCCTACAGAAAACATCAAAGGAGCAAAGACAAGGGTTTTGATTACAGGGAGGTGAGGTTCTACTGAATCCTGTCAAATTCATTACTGGGTGGTAGTTAATGAGAATGGCAAAGCACTACTCAGTCTAAGGAAGGTAAGTTCTAAAGTGGTACTTTTAAGACCAACAGACTTACAGCTCTTACAATGTAGTAGCAGACTGCCTCCAACTGACCTATTGCCCCTATTGTTAAACTAGAGTATAATTCCATACCACATAGCTATATTGAAGTCAACATTCAAATATTGTCGAAGGCTTTCACGGCTGGCATACGATGGCTGGTGTGGGTCTTCC